ACAGCTCATTTAATCCTACTCCTTTTATCAGACTCTTCATTTCTACCTACATTACTACTATTATATTTCAGCATTAAGTCAAAAATCCCCAAGTGAATGGGCCCCTTTGTTCTAAGCACGGTGTAAATGGATCAAGCTTTCTTCCTCTCTGCTAATAAGACATGGCATTTCTTTCAAAACTTGCTTTTTAATGTTGCTAAAGGCTCATTCTTCAGCTAATTTCTAATTGATGGCTGCAAGAAATTAGCTAGCAGCCAATGTCTAGCATAAGTAATAGCCAATACAAAGTTGATGTCTATTTTATCAAAAGCAAACCTCCTCTGCCTGCAGGTAAATTTGATTTGACCACATGTTCAGAAACTGATTATTCACAGTATGCAAAGTGCAAAGAGCTGAGAGAATAACTTTGGGAGAAAAAGACAGGGCAAGGGTCAACACAGAGAACTGAGTGCTCTGCTCAGCAGCACGTTGCCATATCGGCAACCAAGTTACATAGAGAAGAAGGTGATCATTTGTATTCCTGAGGCTCTTTGTTAAGCTTTAACCAGTGATGATAGCCTGCAGCATCTTCGGGCTATTACAGGCAAGTGTTAATTTCAGGTGATAGATGCACTAATGCTGACTCTAGGATATAGTACTGACTCTACAAATGCTTAATGTATAGACCTAGTTGCTCTCGTGGATCTTAACAACGAGGTTTGAAGTTGCTATTTTGCTTTATCTTTTTATATTACTCTTCCGCTGTGTAGTAGCTTTTTCGGGGTCTCTTTTAACACGTTCTTACAGCACGTTCTTACAGCCAGTTTTCTTTTTTTTCTGACCTGAAGTTAAGCTAACATTTTGTTTCTGAGTTCAGTTGTAAGAGAGAAATTTGGGCTTAACCTTTTCTGGTTGCGCTCTGGTCACATCCTAATTGCAGTGAATTATTTTGTCATTAAGAAATGCTTTGCACTCATCCTTGTCTTAAGTGCAGTCTACTTCCATGTGCCCAGTCCATTAGGAATGGCTCCAGCTGTACAAGCATTTTTGTTACTACTTTTTATCCTTTCTCAAAGCTTGTAAGCAAACCATATCATGAAAGCCATTTGGACAACTGCTTGTTTAGACTCAGCATCTTTATCTCCAGGTGACTCTTTTTGACTTGACTGGTTTGAAGCACAAATGATAAATCTAATCTGGCTTCACTGTCTGAGTAAGTATCTCTTCACACCAGTTGCTCAGAATAACAAAAAGCCCACCAGGTGACTCCCCCTTTTCATGACCCAGTGGAATGCTGCTGTAGGAGTACCTGGAGTACAGGAACACAGAGGACTGCCAGTCTGCTATTAATGTCTTTAGCAAGACTGTGCTGTATCCGAAGATTTACTCTCTGCTTTTGCACCAAAGGTGAAGAAATTCACCTCTTTCTTTGAAAGACTTGAGTGAATCACAGGCTCCCTCTACAAGGGTGAATTTCACTCCAGCAGAAAGGGGGAAAATCTTTTCTAACAATATCTCAGCCTTTACCGACATCTGGGGAGAAATGAGCATTCAAGAGGCAACATCCCCCTCCAGGTCAAGTCCCCTGTTCTTCATGGGACAATTTCCCATGGCAGTGGTTACCCTCTTGACACTTCTCATGGTACTTATACCATACTTAGACCTTAAGTGCCCAACATTTAGCTAAGCTGTTTTTGTACTCAGAGGAACAAGATTGAGCAAGGACTTACTTATTCCACATATCTAAGTCACCTCCTTAGAGTAATCATATCTCTTTCTCCATTGTCTATATTGAAAACATAAATAATTGGCCAAAACTAAATATCAAGCTTTCCAAAGAGATGCATCCCCCCCTTGTAGGTACATATATTTGCCTTTGTGTGTATGTAATATCCTCCCTTAAATCCAAGAAAATCTTTCCTGTGAGGGTGGTGAGGCAGTGGCACAGGTTGCCCAGAGAAGCTGTGGCTGCCCCATCCCTGGTGGTGTTCAAGGCCAGGTTGGATGGGGCTTTGAGTGACCTGGTCTAGTGTGAGGCATCCCTGCCCATGGCAGGGGGGTCAGGACTAGATGATCTTTAAGGTCCCTTCCAACTGTAACCATTCTATGATTCTGTGATTCTATGATAAAGTATCCCTTTGCCACTCCAGGTAGAACCATAATGGGTTTGAAAATAGTGGGCAACCAGGAAAGTGCATCACCATGACACATCTTTACACTGTTTTTCATGTTTCAACAAGAGGGTTCAGTGAGCCAGTGAGGTCAGGTGGATGAGACAGTGAAAGTCAGCATTCCAGGCTGGCTTCTACTGTAGTAGTATATGACTGTGTCAGCCCATCCTGACTGTAACTCATGTAACTATCTCATGTAACTATCTCATTTAACTCATGTTAGAAACCGACCAAACCCCATCTTGAAACTAGTAGAGACATGTTGTACCTACTACGTCATATGAGAAACTCTTCCAGGAATCTCCTGCACTGTTGTTTAACAATGTTATTCTCATCTCAGATTCATTCATGCTTCTTGAAAGTGCTGTCTTTTAATTTTAATTCTTCTTTCACTGGATATTCACTCTTCCCCTTCTCCATGCAGGCAGTCCTAATTCCTCATAATCTTTATTTTTCTAAGGTCTGTCCCACCCCTATGAAGTGTAAAAATCACTACTTTATATCAAAACAAGTAATTGATTCAAAATCAAAATAAAGAAAACTAGTGTGGCACTCTTCTCACCTTACTATAAACCTCTGCATCTACTTGTCTTGAATATCAGATCAAGCAGCACAGATCACATGTAGTTGAGAAAATATTTGAAGAAATAGATCCTCAGGTCCAATTTGCCCAGTCTGTGCCTTCTAGAAGCACTCTGATAGAAAAGCCACATTTCCACATTTAGGATTCCCCTGAGAAGGCACCAAAGAGGGCAGTTGCAAAATTGTTTTTAAAAAACAATTTCAGTATTGTATGGAGTGTGTTTCATGGACAAAGCTGGTAAACAGAGGGCATCGTTTGGTGCCAGTTCACAGTACTTCAGAGGTTTTAAGTAGTAGTGCTACAGACTATGGGTCTAAGTCCCTGAAGGCCCACCAAAAATGAGATGATTGAAACCATCTGAGAGGAGCGCAGATCCCCCCTTCCCATGTCGTCCTTGTGAACTGTTGAGTGTTTTAACCATCAGTCCATCATTCCCGTTCATCTAGGACACCTAATACTGACAGTGTGTGTGGTTTGGTGGGAAATACCTCTGCTACTAGAGCTCACCAACTCATTTGAGCACCCATTAGGCAGCATGTTGGAGCTGTTCTGAAGTGGCATTGGGTGTTCCTTGTGTTTTGAGTAGACCTCACAATGCACCTGAAGACAAGAACCAAGTTTTACAAGAAATTGAGAAAAGCAGCAGCTGTGAAGCTTTGGACGATTTGTTTCAACACCATCTTCCCTGCAGTCCTGGTGGTAATTACAGATACACCCAGGATGGCTTTGCTCTACCTCACTCAGGTGCCAATAGCTGAGAAGCTGTGTCAGCGTGTGTTTCACACAGCCTGTGCAAGCTCATCCCAGGCCTTGTACAGTTGCTATGGTAGCTGAACCACATTGAGATCTACTCTACAACATCACTGCTATTAATACCCAAGCATTAGCCTGCTGGTGGTAAAATGGGGATAAGAGCACTCCTTTACTTTTCAAGGTTGCAGTGAAGATAAATACATTAAAGACTGAAAAACATTCAGGATAAGATACCAATATTGTCTAAAATTAGCTAAATTTATAATCCAGACATCTAAAACAGAGCTAGTTGTCTAGACTCGCTTTAAAACTAATGAAAGGAAATAGCTATTTTTCATATGACCACAGTATCTGGCCTACTTGGGACATCTACTTTAGGAAGAGATAAATGCCATTTGACCATACTGACTGGTTCTTTCTTGGTCAGGAAGAGAGCTGTGGGTCAGTAGCTGAAGTGTAATGTCTATTTTATATTATTTATAACCCCACCTTCTAAACAAATGTGGTTTTAGCAAAGGAGACCCTGGCTAGCTATACAGGTCATATGTAACAATACTCCTTTTTTAAAAGTTCACTGGATTTCAGGTTGGCAACAGAATGTCAACATCCTTTCCAAGTGTGATGAGTACAATTACTCATTGACTGTCCAGGAAGCTGGACCCAGATTCATCTCACCTGATTTTGTAAGCTTACCTAGCTGCCTGGGTTAGGGGTCTCAATTGCTCTTGCCTCTGCAGTAAGCAGAGGTCAAAAAAAAATATCTAGAGATTGTTCTGAATGTTTCATTCCAGATTCTGACTTTGAGTCTTCTCTGCCAGTGATTTGGCAGGAATTGGTTACAGTCTATGTTAGGAGTATCTCAAGCTTTTCCTCCCATTGTGTTTGAGACTAGGATTCCTATCCCCTATCTTTCTCTTGCTTATATACATACATATTTGAGCCAGAGTTCCTGGGTGCTCTCTATGGTCCATGCAAAAAAATAATGCACTTCAAGATGTATCTGGCCTATTTGTAACCATCTGCTTGAGGGTGACCTGTTGACTGTAAAGTAGCTCTCCACTGCCTGTAGAAAGTGCTCACAGGGATTAGGTCAGGTCTGTCTGTGTTGTAGACTCAAATGTTTAGTTAAATCATCTGTGATTACTCATATACAAGGGATGCAGAGGCAACTATACCCCCTCTGACAGGTCACTCTAAGACCTCCATCAGGTATATCCATCTTGGGGGCTTGATCCAGTTGCATAAGCTTAGACATTTGTTGCCATTTGAAATGCCCTGGGGTATTTAAGAGATCAGATATGAGACATATGAGACATGGGAAACCCATGCTGTTCCCAGAGTGCAGTACCCAAGAGAATATCAAGTGAATGCCCTTGTTTAGGCAGCTGAATCAAGCCCTGCATGTTTCAGTGTCTTTACACATATCATCGTTTGTCTCAATGCTGTCTAGTGCCCCTTTACAGAGAACACCTGAGTATTCTAAGTGGTCGTGTTCTTTATTTTTTTTTCACCAGGTCCGTTCTGCTGCCAGGAAACGATGGCACCGCTGGCAAGACCATCACTCCCTCCGAGTGCGTGTGGCACGTGCCATGTCTATCCCCACCTCTCCAACACGAATCAGCTTCCATAGCATCAAACAGACCGCAGCCGTGTGATACGCCCTCACATACACGCGCACCTGGTGGCCTTCAGGGTTCTTCTTTCTTCACTCTCCCCAAGCCCGTTTCTGCAAACTTTCTTCCTTTGTTCTTCACTGATCTCTTTTGCAATGAGGTGCCCATCATATTTTTGTGGACTCTCATCTCCTGTATTTGTGATGCTGCTTTAAGGCAACCAGGCAAAGGCCTCCTGAAGTAGGTGGTGGTGAAGCAGATTCAAAGAAGAAAGAGATTCAACACTGACTGCACCTTGTGGAAGTTCACAGTACAAAGTCTAAAACAGCACACTGGCTGGAACAATACATTTTTTCACCTTTTTGTTTGTTTGTTTTTCCCTTCCGTAGTGTGGTGAACAAGGACTGTTTTTAAAATACTGCCCATCCCTCCCTGTACATTGATTCCCAATGATTTCACCAGTTTTGTGTATAGACAGCCCAACCCTTTCTTGTTTCTTTGTAAAAATTACTTCTCTGCAAAACTGTCATTTGAGAACACGTGGCAGCAAGAAAAAGAGCATCTGAAAGGTGGTGTGAAAAACCCGAATTTATCTACCTTCCTCATTTCTCCCTTTGATAGACTGGGAGCTGGCCAGGGCATCACTGGATTAACACAGGACACTTTGCCTTGCAAGAACCATGCTCTGTTCATACAGAGAATTTTGAAAGGACAGCAATATCTCTAGATAGCTCTATAAAATATCCTTATTCCTCTTAGCCACTGCTTTCAACACAATGTAAGTAGTCTTTGGACAGTCTTTGAGTTTTTTCAGCTAAGAGGATTGGGGTGGAGAAGGACAACAGAACATGTTTTCTGGGTTTAAAATATATAAAAGGGAAGCACTGTAAAAATAATGAGGAGAGGATGTTTGCATTATGAGGATAGTGCTACATGCTGCACCAAGATTATCTATTAAGCATTTTGAAGTAGAGCAGCTGTATCTACTAGGCTTTTTATGTGATGTTCGAAAATATTGTATATTTTCAGTAATAAACACTACTCTGGGTTGGTTTAAATAAAACAAGGCATCATTTTTTTTACTCTGGAAAGAAAGAGGAGACCTATCTTGAGAATGGTTTTGTATCTAAGATGAGGGAAAGAAATCCTGTTTCATAGTGAGCCAAGAAAAACAACCTCATGATAAAATCTGAGCAAGAGGGGATATAATGATGCCTCCCTTCTCAGCTCGTGGTGTTACACTGAATCTCTGTCCCTCTGTGCTCCCTTTCTCTCCATTAGGCTTTGCAACAGCAGAAACCAAAAAACAAGTTGTGTAATATGTTCTTCATCACCTGCATTTTACCAGTGCTGGAATAATTTGCTCTTTCCCCTTACCATGCTTATTCTGAATTTTCTTCACATGTTCTAGAGGACTTTTCAGAACAAGCTGGATTTAAACTTTCAGATTTAAATTGGTTTCTCGCTAGTTTTTAGAAGGAGTACGTGGGGCTGGAAATATCTTGGAAAACACTGATGTTAATGCCCTGATTTTGGAGGCATCCTGTCCTGACAGCTCAATCACATTCAGCTTTGAGCTGATTGGCAATGCACAGCAAACTTCATAGAATCATAAGATACTAGAATGGGTTGGGTTGGAAGAGATCTTAAAGCTCATCCAGTTCCAACCCCCTGCCACAAGCAGGAACACCTTCCACTCAGCCAGGTTGCTCAAGGCTCTGTCCAACCTGGCCTTGAACACTGCCAGGGACAGGGCAGCCACAGCTTCTCCGGGCAACCTGTGCCAGCACCTCAGCACCCTTACAGGGAAGAACTTCTTCCTAATATCTAATCTAAATCCAATCTAAGCCATTCCACCTTGATGAATTAAAATTTTGTAACGTTTGCCCTCCTGACTCTCATTTTGATTTATATGCCTCAGTGAGGCAACTGAGGGAGGAGGGAGATTTGAGATTCTGTCTAGTTAGACTTATTATCTCTGCCAAAGAGGAGGAGCAGGGAAGAGTCTTCACGTAGCCTTCCGTGTTGCATGCCAACTAGCATGATAGATCCCAGTGCGGCAGAGATACAAATAAGGCTGGAATTGTGCCTGTCTGTGCCACTCGCTGCTGTCAATGCCCTGAGTTCTGCGAAGTGATGCAAACTTTCTTCAGCTGGTAAACAAAAGTGCCTGATGAAAGAGGACTGCGTCAGTGCTTTTGTTCATTTGTATGCATCACGATAGCAATGCACAGCCCCCTGGCATTTTGCATTTGAAGGAATAGATATATCTGCAAGTTAGATATGTAGATTGAGTAAATATGTGGGTTGAGTACCTCTGTGTTTGCTCTGTCTCTAGTCCAGTCTGAAATGAAAAAGGAATTTACAATACAACAGAAATTGCAGATTATTGTTACTACCAGGAGTGTATTTCACAAAAAATAAGGTCCATTTTCCTATTAGTATTTGTCCAAAGCAGACATTTTCAGTCCTTCCAGCACTGGACCCTGTTTCAAACCAGCATGATGGTCATATAGCATTAATGACATACTGCTTATGTTAATGCTGAAGTGATTGCTATTCTAACACATACACTACCTCTGCTTGTTTTGTCATGGAAGTTTTCTGAAGTCTGTCATGCCTGAGGTACTGACAGTCACAGCACATTTTCTCTAGAGCACTGTAATAGAAATCAAGCTTGAATTTCTACTGTCAGCCTTGTAAAAGCAAGATTTCAGACCACTCCCAGAAAAGCAATAAAAAATTATTTTGAGGGCAGCTTTACTTCTTTGTCTTCTCAGAGAGTGCAGAGCAGATAGGTGAGATGATAGAGACATAGATCGGTGTAATTCTGAACACAGCGTATCTGGGGGGTCATAAAAGCCAGGATTTAAGAAAAAAAAGCTGGAGGTTTCCTGTCTGAGATTGGACATATGAGCCTCAATCCAAAGCTCTTCGCATTATATAGAGAGAGCTCTAGCTTTTCTGCACATGGCTGCCCTGTAGACAACTTAGGGCTGGTTTGTAGGCTGCCTAACCTTTCAGCGGGCACCATACCCTCCTGGTCGGCAACAAGAAATGGCATATGTGTGTCCTGGAGCTCATGTTCTGATTCCTTTGGAGCCACAAGCTGAGGCACGTATCAGGGGGCTCTCTGCATTTGCAAGCTGGTCACCATTAGCCTGTTTTCTGCTCCCTGGAAGGACTCCCCTACCTTTGAAGTCCTGGGAAGGACTCTTACTGGCATCAGTAAAATTGGTGTCAGGCTCACATTTGCCCTCTCAGTATCCTTTTCTCGTTCCAAATAAAGAGGCAGTTCCTATCTTTCTCTCCTCCACATCAAGGACCAGGCAGACCATAGGGCAATCAAGTTCTCCTGATGAAAGCTGCCATAGAAACAAAGTGGAAAGTAGTCTCCATGGAAATAGTGCTTTGAACACTGTTTCTCCCAGTCTATCAACTGATCAATCTTATCTTATTGCTTCCTTAAGTTCACTTGTCTGCCTGTATCCTTTATTTGGTTTTCTTAGGTGCAGTAAGATCCTACCCAGTACCATAACTATGAGTTAGTATAGCCCACGTTAGTAGTGAAAACAATCTGCCTTTCACATTCCAGGGCTGAAAAGCTAGGATTCATCCTGAGTTTTCCTTACTGCTGTGGACATGCACCCAGCTCTGAAGTGCAAGTGCAATGCAGCAACACAGCTGCACTTTCACTGGACTGGTTCCTTTCCCCTGTGGTGGAGTTGTTGTTTTTTTTCTTGGTAGACCCAAAACACAACTTTGTGGGCACCAGCTGCATCTGCCCTTGGAGTGCTTAGCCAGAGTGACCCACTATTATCCTTGTGCTGTGAAGCCTGCCCGTTGTCAGAGGGCACTTTGCTAGTACTGTAGGTAAGGGGTCTTCCTAGTCATGTGTGTCTCCAGCAGTAGTCCTAATACCAGCTCCTGAGGAATGCCACTGATCTCCACCTAGACATTGAGCCATTGACCACAGCTCTTTGAGTGTGACCATCCAGCCAATTCCTTATCCACCAAGTCCATCCATCAAATCCATGTCTCTACAGTTTAGAGACAAGGATGTTGTGCATGACAGTGCCAAACACTTTGCACAAGTCCAGGTAGATGAAGGTGAGGACCAACTGGCTGAGCAGCAATCATGTGGAAGAGCACACAGGGACCTTGGTGGATTCTGAAATGAAAGCAAGCCAGCCATTGACCTGGCGACGAAGGTGGCTAACAGCAGTCTGGGCTGTTTTGAGGGAAGTGATTATTCCCCTCTGCTTTGCGTTCATTAGACCACATCTAGATGGTGTGTCCAGTTTGGGTCCCCCAGTACAAGAAGACATTAATAAACTAGAGCAAGGTCAGCCGCAGGTCACCAAGAGGCTCAGATCTGGAGCAATTGCTGTGTGCAGATAGACCAGAGCAGCTGCTTCAGCATGGGGAGAAGGAGACCTAACAACAGCCTGGCAGTACCTACAAGGAGATTACTGAGGTGACAGACCCAGGCTTTTCACAATGATGTATGGAAGGAGGACAAGAGATAACAGACATAGACTGAAACAAGAAAGGACCAAATCAGATGTAAAGAGAAAGTTTTTCCTCAGGAGGACAGTCAAGCAACAGGACAGGTTGCCCTGGGAGGGTGTTCAATCTCCATGTGCAGAGATTTTTCAAGTCCTAGCTGGATAAAGCCCTGAGCAACTTGGTGTGCAATTGCAGCATATGATATGGAAATATGCTCATGCCTCCTATCTTCGAAACAGGCTTCTTCATGTGGTTTCTCCTGGGAGGGATGCAAAGATGAATGAAGTCACATCTCTGTGTGGAAAACTATCTCCTTTACATTGTAATGCCTTTTAAAGCCTTATGTCCCTTTCAACAAAAGTTTTTGGATCCACAGGAAAAATCTCAGCTATGCCTTGAAAATGGTTGTGGGTATGGTGGACCGACAACCTCTGTGTGTGTATGTGTGTTTATGTACCAGTGTGTGCACATGTACATACACATCCAATTGGCTGTGTATGTGTGACTGTATGTCTCTGTGTGTAAAGAAAACTGGTCAAGTTAATTCTGATTTGTAGCATATTATGTAGGAAGAAAACAAGGCTTCATGTGTTCAGTGAATCATTACAGAAATTAACATCTATGAACACTTAAGTACTTCAAATAGAACTCATAAAAGGTCTTCCAGGAAAATGTAGTGCTGAGTGTTGCAGATAATGCATGTGCCAACTGACATCTGAGAGCACGTATAAGCTTATTTTGGATCTGGACTATTTGCATCTTTCTGACACTATTTAAATCTTTTCACCCTTCTCCTTTGCAATAAATCCCCAGTCCCAGCTTGCAGCAGAGACAAC